TGGGTATCAGGAGGCCCCAATCATCCATCCCCTGAACGTCATAAGCCCAGGCAGGCATCCTGTTGGTTAAGGTCGGGCTCACAGGGTCCAGGGATACACTAGATTCTTTATCTTAAACTGACCCTCAGGCAAAAAAAAAAAAAAAAAAAAAAAAAAAGCCACCCTTCAGGACTTAAAAACAAAAACAAAGCTCTAACAGTTTCTGGACGTTTCCGTATTTGTTAAGGACCTTCTTGCTCCGTGCTTTCCAACCAGTGCACTGGGCACCATCAGAAGGCTGCAGCTGCTCTTCGGTGCTTTACCAGCGGCTGAGAAAGTGGAACAGTCACGGCCCGGTTCTGTCACATCCCTCAACCGGACAGTCGCCTTATTACAGACGGACGATCTCCCTATCACAGATTCCAGTAGGGCCGAACACCCTCCTTCCTGCAGGTCTTTACAGATGAACATGCTATCGCTCCAGCAGTACAACCCGCCTTATTACGTAAAAACGCAGCCCCCATCTACCAGCCGGGAAAGGAGTAAGTTCGGCACCACAGTGGAACCGGCTCTAGCGTTCAGCGTCCTGGGAGGTCCGCATGCGCTCGGGAACCGTAATGCGCGCCTTTTCTAAGCCTTACGGTACAAGCGGACGCAGAGCAACCACGTGGCGGTGGAACCGGGGCCCGGCGGGAATGCGCGGAATGCGCGGCGCGGCCTCGCGGGGCTCCCGAGCCTCGGCCCAGGGTCCGGCGGCGCGCGCTCTCGCCTCCCCTTTACCTCTCCTGGCCGCACCCCGGCCCTGGCCCTGCCACCCAGGACTCGCTGGGCAAGTCGTGCCCCGTGAACACTCAGGAGGGGATTGGGGACCGAGCGCGGCCCATCAGTCCCTCAGACCCTGTGAACCCAGATCCCTAAGGGGTCGGAATCCGAGTCCTGCCCCCGGCCCTTAAAGCACGGGCTCCAGGGACCCCAGGGGAAGGGCGCGGGGCGTTAGGTAGGCAACCCGTCTCCCGGCCAAAAAACAAAACAAAAAAACTCCCTTTCCCTCCCCTCCCCTGCTGGGTGAGTGTCCCGAGAACCAGAACTCCGAGGCGCCCCGTAAGGACGACCCTGCCCCTCCATCCACCCCCAAGTGCCAAGGCGAGGGATGGTAGCGCTTTCGAGCGTTCCAAGGGCATTAAGGCGCACACTAGAGAGGCGCGGGCGTGCGGGGTCCTCCCCGCAGTCTTCCGGAAAGGGTGGGGGATGGCGTGGCAAGTTCCGGAGTGGGGCATGCCGTGGGAGACCCCGAGGGCCTCGGCGCGGATCCTCCGCCCGGAAAACTGGCTCCCGCGAGCGGCCGCCGCAGGTTTCCTAGGCCCCCGGAGTCCGGCAGCGTCGCCTTGCGTCTCCGTGCGGCGCGGAAGTCTGCTTAGCCTCGAGTGGGCCGCGGCCAGGCCTGACTGGGGGGAGCAGGGCGGGACGTGACCTCCGGGGTCACCCCCAGCCCGCTTTCTCTCCGGTGGTCGGAGGTGGTTTTCTTCCGGATCTGGGTGCTTACTCCCCACCACTTGGTCTGAGAGGGGCCGGGGCCAGCTGGAAGGCCAGGAAATCCCTAGTGGATTTGGGGGTTCACATTGCTCAGGGTACCAGGCGAAGCGTCTTGAGGGGCGGGAGTCAAGGAATTAGAATCGCCTTTAGCCTTGGGATCCCAGTTGTGTCGCTGGAGCCAGGGCCGCCCCCTACCTGTTGAGTTTGAATTTTAACTCCCGCTCCCACCGCGTCCGCAGCCTTCGGAGCTCGGGGAGGGGTCTCGTTTCCCCGCGGCCCGCCGGACAAACGACTGGGGCGCTGGAAGAAGGGGTGGTCTGTGTGTGACTGAAACTAATTGATCAGGAGCGGAAACGCACGTCTGCGGTTGGGGCGATAGGGGGTGCGGCTGTCCGTGTGCCGAGTATGTGGCTGTCCCGGGTGGGCACTGGGGCCGGAGTTCGCCCCGGACCTCCTCGCAGTTTTGGGGCGCTCGGGATCGGTGCTACGTAACCCAAGCAGAGCTGCCGAAGCACGTGGGCCGCCACGCGCACCCCAAAAAACGAGTCGTGTGGGGGGAAGGGGAGCTCGAGCGCCCTCGGAATCCAGGGGCCGGCTTTCGGAAGCGTTTTCCCGGGCGACTTAAGCGCTTAACAATGGAAAACTCGCGGAGCGGGAGCCAAGTCCTTTCAAGTCGCCGCCAGGTATGCGGCTGCAGGTGACCCCACCTGGGTGCGCCCGCCAGCGAGCCGCCCTGGTCCCACAGTAGAAAGGCGGGTGCCGGAGGTCGCCGGCGAAAGGTCGGCGCTGGCCACCGCAACACCCGCCCCCAACCCAAGCCCCCAGCCCCGCGGCGCGAAGTCGCGCTGAGTCCCGGGGTCTGCGCCGCGGCGCGCCGGTTCCTGAATGAACGCGCTCCCTTCCCCCGCTTGAATGAAGGTTCCCACAGCCAGGGACGGTGGCGAACACGCGCCTGCAGAGGAATTCGCCCTCTCCGGGCAGACCATCCGCCCGAGCCTCGGGCACCGGGGCGGGGGCCAAGGGGCGAGGAAAGTGGGAAGGTGATTGAAGTTACTTTTGGATTTTCTTTCAAACCAAAGTGGTTACTCTCCCGACTGGGCCACTTGCCCTTTGTCTCCAAATGGTCACCAAGAAATAAGAACAGAGCACTTTAAATGAGCCCAGAATCCGCAATTCCTGCTTCGTGATGGGTTTTAAAAAGACAGCGTCAAGTAAAACTGCAACAGAAAAGTTTTTTAAAGTTGCTTTTCTCTTTGGAAAAAAAATAAAATCAAAATGCCTTATCTGCGCTTCTTGAAGCAATGGCCCTCAAAAGCCCAGAGCTGTTGGCCCCCTCGGAAGACCCAGGGGCCCCGAGCAGGGCTCCCTGGGGTGGGGGCTGGGCAGCTGGCGCGCCCCGCCGGGCCCCAAATTCCAGCGCCTCCCCCGCGAGTTCCTGGACGGCTCTTTACGTTCGCTAGCCGGGCTTGCAATTTTGCGCCCGTCCCTGAGCCGGGAAATCAACGAAGTTCCTCGTCGAGATCTGCCCGGTCCGCCTAGTAACAGCGCCGCGCCCCCATTGGCTCATGCTAATTCCAGTTTCCTCTGTCTTGCGCCCGGGATGGGGGGTGAAGCTCCCTCCAGGACCCAGAGCCGGTTTTGCCGGAGTGGGCGAGCCTCTTTATGCCCTGCTGCCCCTACCCGACTCCAGCCGCTTCGCGCCTCGGGCTGGGCCAGGGCGCGGGCGGGGCTCGGGGCCCCCAGCCCCCCGGGATGGGAGAGGCCGGGTGATAGCTCGGGGCCCCATAAATCATCCAGGCGGCCGCCAGGTCCGGATTTTATGAATGAAAAAGCAGCTGGGCCGCCCTCGTGCGCGGGCGGATGCTCTGAGGCTTGGCTATACCGGGGCCGACGCGATTGTGGGTGCCCGGGGAGTGGGGAGGCACGTCGGTGGGTGCTCCCTGCTGGGGTCACCTACCGCTCCCCATGCGCAATCTAGGGGTAATTACCCCCCCGGAACCCGAAATATTAGTAATCCTAGTTCCGGGCGGGGGAGGGGGCGCGAGAGGAATTCGCCCTGAAAGGTAGGGGTGGGAGGGGGTCGAATCTTGCTGTGAGCACCCTGGCTAAGGGGAGGGGACTTTTTCTATCACTTTTCTTTGAGCTTTTACTGTTAAGAGGATACGGTGGTTTGATGACACTAAACTATATTGAGAAGGAAGTAAATGAAGTTTTCTTAATTAGGGGCAGGTATTGTAAAACAAAACAAAAAAGTTAAGACAGTAAAATGTCCTTTTTTTAAATGCACCAAAGAGGCAAAACCTGTAATAATAAAAAAAAAACACCATGTATTTTAATTCACACTTGCTTAACTTTGCGATAATATTGGGGACCCTCTCATATAACCACGAACGCCTATCGATTTTGTTAAAAATCAGATCAGTACACTCATTTGTTTAATTGATAAGTGTCCTTTATTTTGCCCGCCCTTGCCAGCCCCCTCACGCTCGCCAGTGCAGACCCGGGGCAAATTATAAAGGTGAAAGGACGTCTACACCCCCAACAAAACCAATTAGGAACCTTCCGGCGGTCTTGTCCCAGGCAGAGGCGACTAATATTTCCAGCAATTTAATTCCTTTTTTAATTAAAAAACGAGTCAGGACGGAGATCACTGTTCCTCGGCTGTCCTTTCAGAGATGTGTTTGGCCCGGTTAAATTGCCGGCACCGGAAGGGAGGGGGTGCATCTGGGGACCCCCGCGAGGATGGACTGGTCAAGGTAGGAAGACAGCCCGAAGAGTCTCCAGGCTAGAAGGACAAGATGAAGGAAATGCTGGCCACCATCTTGGGCTGCGGCTGGAATTTTCGGGCATTTATTTTATTTTATTTTTTGAGCGAACGCGTGCTAAGCTGAAATCCCTTAAATGTTTAGGGTTACCCCCTTGGGCATTTACAACAACCCCCATGTGAGCCGAAATGAAAAGTGCACTGGGTGGTGTGCCCTGTCCTCCGTCCCTGCATGCTAAATAGTTCTTGAAATTTACACGTGTTAATGAAAATGAAAGGAGATGCAGAAACTGAGATTCTTTGGCCGTCTGTCCGCTCGTGGGTGCCCTCGTGGCGTTCTTGGAAATGCGCCGATTCTGCCGGCTTGGATATGGGGTGTCGCCGCGCCCCGGAGTCCCCCCTCCTCGTGGTCTCCCTAGGCTGCGTGTGGCCTGTGGGGCTTCCCAGTTGTCCCCTACTGCAGAGCCACCTCCACCCCACCCCCAAATCCCGGGGGACCCGTTCGAGTCGGACCGGGCCCCCTGTACCCCTCTTTTCTGGCGGGGAGAAAGGCTGCAGCGGGGCGATTTGCATTTCTATGAAAACCGGACTACGGGGGCAACTCCGCCGCAGGGCAGGCGCGGCGCCTCGGGGATGGCTTTTGGGCTCTGCCCCTCGCTGCTCCCGGCGTTTGGCGCCCGCGCCCCCTCCCCCTGCGCCCGCCCCCGCCCCCTCCCGCTCCCATTCTCTGCCCGGCTTTGATCTCTGCTTAACAACAGTAACGTCACACGGACTACAGGGGAGTTTTGTTGAAGTTGCAAAGTCCTGGAGCCTCCAGAGGGCTGTCGGCGCAGTAGCCGCGAGCAGCAGAGTCCGCGCGCTCCGGCGAGGGGCAGAAGAGCGCGAGGGAGCGCGGGGCAGCAGGAGCGAGAGCCGAGCGCGGACGCAGCCGGAACCCACAGCCCTCCCCAGCTGCCCAGGCAGAGCCCCAGCCATGGAACACCAGCTCCTGTGCTGCGAAGTGGAGGCCATCCGCCGCGCCTACCCCGATGCCAACCTCCTCAACGACCGGGTGCTGCGGGCCATGCTGAAGGCGGAGGAGACCTGCGCACCCTCCGTGTCCTACTTCAAATGTGTGCAGAAGGAGGTCCTGCCGTCCATGCGGAAGATCGTGGCCACCTGGATGCTGGAGGTGCGGGGCTTCGGGCGGCTCTCTTAAGACCTCCCTGCAACTTGTTGCCCATACCCACGTTTCTTTGCTTCTCACTCCCCTCTCTTCTCTCCCGCTAGACCTTTGAAGTTTGCCGGGGTGTTGCTAGGTATTTTCAAAATAAAAATTGTGGGTATTTTCTGAAGAAGGAAGGGGTGGGGGTGGGGGTGCTAGGAGTTGCGTTTCCTGGGACGGGAGGAGGGGGTCGGGGAGGGGTGCCTCCAGGAGAAGCCAGTGCCAGGAGCACCCCAATGGGCCCGAGGGTGCGGGCTGGCAGGTTAGGTGCGCTTTGTGCCCCCCGCCTGCGCCCCAGCCATGCTGCGGCTCCTCTCCCGGCCACCGCGGCCGAGAGCCTCCAACTCCGGGGGGAGGGGGCATAGATTTGATTTTTAAATTACTATCCATGGACACGTATGCAAGGGCTTCTCGTGCCAGTATTATGCGCCATCTTTGCTCTTTTATTGCACAGCAAAAGTGTTTATTAATAATTGGGGGCAGGGTGGGGGCGGGGAGCGGCCGCCGGGCGCTGGGGCCGCAACTAGGGGCCCGGCGGCTGCCCGGAGCCCGCGGGAGGGGCGCGGGGACGCAGCATGGGTAGTTTTGGGGGGACCCCGCTGGGGAAAGGGGGGCCTTTGTTCAAGCAGCGAGTCCCAAAGCGCCCCGCACGGGCAGCCTGGGCCGGAGAGCACGCCGAGCTGCAAGGTCGCGTGGCCCCCAAGACGCCAGGGCTGGATCCCCGTCTGCAGGGATCTCGGCTTGGGGGACCTTCTCCGAGCGAGCCGGGGGCCTGGGAGAACATTTTCACACCTTCGGTGGGCGCCTGAGGGGCCCGCAAGTATTTTTAAATAATTTTTGAAAGTGCGGCGTGGTGCCCTTGCGAGAGGGAAACACCGCCCGCGCCCAGGGGGAAGGGGGTCCCCGGAGTTTTAATTCCTGGGGCTTCCCCCGGAGCCTGTAACAAACTCCCGACCCCCGGCCTGGGTAAAGGGCCGTCCGAGGGTCATTTTCAGGGTATTTTTACGCACTTAGTTATTTTTTAAATATTTTTAAATATTTTTTGAAAAGATGACGTCTGGGGAAATGCGGCGCGGCGGCCTGGGACGCCACCTTTGTGTCTCGCAGGCGCGGCGCCCAACCCCGCGGCCTTTTGCGCGGCCCCGCACCCCAGTGGGTGTCGACCCACAGCCAGAGGGGCCACGGAGCTCCAGGGCGGGCTGGGGTCCCCGGGGCCTGCAGCCCGCGCCGCCGCCCAGCTGTGCCCGCTCCCGCCCCCACCATGCCAGCCTCGCGGGGACTTTCCCTTTCAGTTTCAGGGAGGGTGGATACTCGGGACGCGCGCGAGAGGGGGCGCATCACAGGAAGCTTCTGCCGCCCCCGGCCCCGACCCCTCGGCGCCCTCCAGAACTGGTGGTCCTGCCGAGCGCGATGGGCATGCGAGGGCGGGGGAGTGGGGTGGGGGTGGCGCGACCTGGCGGCGGCGGTCACGGGCCCCGTGCCCCCGCAGGTCTGCGAGGAGCAGAAGTGCGAGGAGGAGGTCTTCCCGCTGGCCATGAACTACCTGGACCGCTTCCTGTCGCTGGAGCCAGTGAAAAAGAGCCGCCTGCAGCTGCTGGGGGCCACCTGCATGTTCGTGGCCTCTAAGATGAAGGAGACCATCCCCCTGACGGCCGAGAAGCTGTGCATCTACACCGACAACTCCATCCAGCCCGAGGAGCTGCTGGTAACCGCGGGACCCCCGCCGCCCCCCGCGAGCCGCAGGACCACCGGGCCGGGGAAGGTGCAGGGGCGGCAGGCGGCCCCTTTGCCGGGTGTCCTCGTCCTGGGAGCGGGTGGGATCCTAGCCGCCCCGTGCGCGCTTGCCTGCGACTCCCACCTCGTTAGCGCTCTGCGGTGTGGCCGAAAAATGGGCGGCGCGCGCCCTCCAGCGGCTGCACCGGGAACGCCGCGCTCCACGCTGAGCCTTCCGTTCCAGGTGGTGGGAAGTCTTTTTGTTTCCACTTGCAGAATCTTTTCACGCGGCGGGCGCCTTTTCTGTTTTGATCTGGGATCGTGTGTTGCCCCAGCTTCCTGGACCCCCCAGCATTCGCCAGTCCTGCTCCCGCACCCCCAGGACCACACGAGACTCAGGGGCTAGGGCCATACTGCCGGCTTCCCCGCGTCCCCAGGCCGGCCCGCACCTCCCCTGATAGCCGCTCACCCTGTGTTCGCAGCAAATGGAGCTGCTCCTGGTGAACAAGCTCAAGTGGAACCTGGCCGCCATGACCCCGCACGATTTCATCGAACACTTCCTCTCCAAAATGCCAGAGGCGGAGGAGAACAAACAGATCATCCGCAAACACGCGCAGACCTTCGTTGCCCTCTGCGCTACAGGTAGGGCAGGCCCAGCAGCCCCCAGCCTCCCCTTGAGAGCCAGCACCTTAGGTGGCCTGGCCGGCTTCTTGCTCTGCACCTGGGTGCTGTCCCGGAGGACGTCCCTAGGCCCCCGCCTGCGCTGGGAAGAGTTCTTCCAGCTCTGGTGAGCAGAGGTGCTGGCTTGTTTGCGCTGGATGGAAGGGGATTTGCCCTTACGGCCGCGCCACCACGCAGCCAGCCTGCCTGTGTCTAGATGCTGTGGCCTCATCCTCCAGGCCGAAAGGGGTTTACCTTGGCCGCAGGGCCGCCTCCTTTCCCCACCGACCTCCAGCCCTTCTTGTGTCCTTAAGGAGCCTGAGCTGCGGGGGCCCCCTCCTGGCCTCTCCCAGGCTGGGCGACTTGCCAGAGGCGCCTCCGGGGGCGGGGAGAGCTGTCGGCCCGCCTGCACCACGTGTTCTGGGCAGCTGAGTGCAGGGGTGTCCAGCAGAGGAGCTCAGCTGCCTGAGGCCCTGCCAGGGGTGCCGCCAGTCTGCTGGGCTCAGCTGAGCCCTGGGGAGCACTTCAGAGCAGTCTCAGCTTAGGCCGCCACCGTGGGCAGCAGAAGTACCCAGTCCTCACCTCCGCTGGCATGGCCCTGGCCCCAGGACCCAACTGGGATAGACACATGCATACACAGGGTGCTGCCTCCTGCTGTCCCCAGCCCTGCCTCTGACCCCCCTGTGCGCCTCCTTCCCTGGTTACCCTGATGGGGGGGCCCTGCCCCCTTTTGGTCAAGCCTCAGTTGTCACATCTGTTTGTGGGCTCACTCTGGGTGACAGGCCACAAGGTCCGGGACATCAAAGACACAATAGCATCTTCTCCCCCAATCCCTTGAGGGCAGAGCCCCCCCAAACCTATTTCAGCGCACCCTCTGACACAGGTAGCCAGCAGTTAGTGTATTATTCCAGAATGGTTTCTGGTTTCGGCGTGAGAGCTCCCCCACCTCCTCCACCTGCTTGGGGCAGGAAACCCTCCCCCATGTTTCCAAGCAAGTCCCCAAAGTGGTCAGATGAAGATGCCAAGAATGCCGTCCAGCCTGGATGGGTCTGAGGGGTGGGGGTGGTCCTGAAGCAGACAGGGAGGCGTTCTCTGGCTGGGGCTCCTCAGAGGAGAGAGGCCTCCAGAGACTCCACGCAGCCTTTTATGGAGCTGTAAGTGGCTTCAGAGAAATGCACTTTTCTGGAGACGTGGTGGGTGCCGTCCTTGCACAGCTTCCCTGCAGGGTGGCTCCAGCGGCTGAGCTCCCCTCCCAGGATCCCTGGGTGTTGGCGGGAGGCAGGGGGCAGGTGCAGTCTCGCCCTCCCCGCTACTGCACACGCTTTGTCTGTGAAGGCGCCCCCGGCGGTGGGTAAAGGAAGAGGGACACTTGGGAACCCAGTTGCTCTCAGTCTGCTCCAGGGTGGGCCCCGAGTGAGGGGCCGGAGGCCAGGGCACCCACCCCTGCAGAGTGCTCCAGGTCCTGACCCGTGCGCAGCCCAATGAACATAACTGAGCATCAGACATAACTGCCTGGGTCCTGCTGGACGTCGGTGGAGACGAGAGTGACTCAGGGCTGCTTAAAGTCAGAAACGGGTTGAAGGAGGCGGAGGCGTGGGAGAGAGTCTAGGAAGGTGTTTCTGCCCTCCACGTGGCACGGGTTACATTTAAAGGTGATGCCAGGGCGGCTTCTCCCTGCACCACGCATCCCTGGCCCCGGGTCCCCAGCAGGTGTGCACATGCCACATACACTCACATAAGTGGGTTTCAGGGCACGTGCCCTCGGTGCTGCAGGGGGCCAGGTGAGAAACGTCCAGTGCTGCGGAGCTGCCAGGACAGCTGTCACCTCTCTGAACAACTGGGCAGCGGATAGGGTCCAATCCTGGAGCTTTGGTGTTTCATTCTGGGTGGCTCCTAATCTAAGCACACTGCCACACACTTGGGTGGGGGCAGGATCTTCCGGAACGATGTGGGAGTGACTCCGCTCTGCATGTGCCCCTGGATGAGATGGGGCTCTCAAGGTGCAGGGCCAGCTGGAAGCCGTCGCTCCCTGCAGAAGCAGTCTCTGTGTGCAGTTCTGATTTGCCTCAATGAAAACGTTTTCATTCATGGCTCCCGGCTCTCGGACTGTGTGGAACTGCTCCCATTTAAAGGGGAGAAGAGGTGGCTCAGCTCGTTAAGGATTTCTTTTTCTAAGTCGCTGCGGCGCCCAGCAGCCAGCTTTGTCTCCCCTTCAGGGTGGCTGCCTTTCTTCCCAGCCCCTCGCCGGCGCCCCTCTCTTTAACAAGGCCGAAGTTGTTTATTCTCTCAGGATGAAGTCTCCGATGGGCCAGCGCACCCCTGGCGGCCCGTGGGGGCCCCTCTCCCTTTGTGCCTGGGTCGGCTCCCATTCAGCTCCCCCAGCCCCCCTTGTTCCTGGGTGCTCAGTGGTGCGAGATGAGGCGATGGGGCCGGCAAAGATGCCACACTCAGCCCAGCCGGCATCCAGCTCCCGCCCCAGGCCCCTGGTTCCTGTGCAGATTTCCTCGTGGGTGTGACACAAAGGCTGCCCCCAGCCTCCGCTGGGGTGGGGGCCAGGCCAAGAGGCAGATTCCATGCTGGCCCACCTGTCCATGGTAGGTGCGCGGCTGCCCTGAGGAGGGGTGGCCGGCGTTCCCTGCCACAAATGGGGACATGATTGGTGGCGAGGCTCTCTATGGGAAGAGCCGGCCTGCTGTTTGAGTGGTCAGTTGTGGAGTGACGGGGCAGCCCTGAGGCACCCGCTGCTGCGGCCTGGAGGGCAGATGAGCCCCAGTGTCTGACAGTGACCAGGGGAGTTTTGGGCAGACTGCAGAGCCCGATGAGCCACCCTGGATTGGTGTCCCCCTTGGAAGCGGGCCCAGATGTGGGGAACAGTCCCCAGGAAGCCCCAGGGTGGGGGATAGGCACTTTCCTAGGAAAGCTGCTCCCTCCTGCTGGCTCCTGGCCCAGTCCTCCAGGGGTGTCCCATGGTGACTGGGGGTGGGTGGGAACCCCACACCTCTTCACTTACTTAGGAAATCAGTAGAATTGCTGGGCTACATCAAACAGCCCAGAGAAGCCTTTTTGTCACCTGCCAGACAGAGTGTTGAGTGGAGGGCCGGCTGGAGTTGGGTTGTGCTTGGTCTGCGCTCTGAAAGTCACTATGACAGTCATGGTCCCATGGTAAGGGCCGTGGGTTGCTGGAGAGCTCTTCCTTCCCAAGTGAGCCAAGCCAGGCTCTCCTGGTGCCAGCGGTGCCACACCATCACGGCCACCCTTAAGGCCACCAGCCAGGGCTTGCCCCCTGATGGACACAGGAAATGGCTTCATCAGTGCCCTATGGCCCCGTGGCCTGGCCCAGGTGGAGGCCTGGGTGTCATCCATGTGATGTCCTTTCAGAATGTGACTCGTCTCCAATCCCTGCTGCTGGAGGGTGGCAGGTACTAGGATTAGGGTCACAGAGGCACCATCTCTGTGTCCTCATGTTCATATCATCTCAGCTTGCTTTTGTGAATAAGTGATGATGTTCACAGGCGTGAGATGCCATTGGTGATGTCCCTATCTCCCTTCCTGTGGCTTCCTCTTTGTTTGACTGTGTTTGAGTCAACAGCGGGGCTGATGTTCCAGGACGGTCCCTGGGCCGGGCTCCTGCTCTCCCGGTGCGCAGGGAAGGCTGGAGGCTGGGGAGAGCCTGGATTTGGAGCTGCGCATTCTGGATGGTTCCCTCCAGGCTGGGTCGCTTGCTGAGAGCCGGCACTCAGGGACGCCCGGATCACCGAGGCCCTGTGTGAAGGTCCGTGCCCACAGCCCCCTTGCCTCTCTCCTTCTGCTGCAGATGTCAAGTTCATTTCCAATCCGCCCTCCATGGTGGCGGCGGGGAGCGTGGTGGCCGCAGTGCAAGGCCTGAACCTGGGGAGCCCCAACCACTTCCTGTCCTACTACCGCCTCACGTGCTTCCTCTCCAGAGTGATCAAGTGTGACCCGGTGAGTGAGGGCCATTGATGGCCAGGCGGGCTGGCGGGCAGCAGACATCCAGTGCCACGGAAATGCTGAGGCTGGTGCCAAGGTCCTCAAGGGTGACAAGGTTGGGGCTAGGCCCCTTGGACCCCAGGCCATGAACTTAAGAGTACCGCCAACTTCTTCCCTGCTCCTAGAGCGCACTGACCAGCGCGGGGTCCTCACAGGTTTCTCACATCCATCCCTTGGGGCTTCCAGGAGCTGTAGAGTCTTCCTAGGCTAAGCGTCCAGGACAGAGGCCCCAGGCGGCCCCAGCCAATGATCCGTGTGGTGATGGTGTGTGGGGGTAGGCCCAGGCGAGCTTTGTTTGGGCCACAATGTGCGTGGCCAATAAATAGATGCTTGAAAGGGGCTCCTGTGAGGTCCGAGACGCCGGACAACGGGCGGATAGCGACAGCCTCGTTGTTCACCGCCTCTTTGAGAGGCGGCTGCTGTCAGACCCGGGGGTGACTGTGTCTTTCTTCTTAAAAATGCCACTGTTTTATTCCTGAGTCTTTTCTTAAAGAATTAAAATGACAATCAAAAGGGTTTGTGGCATTTACTAAATTAGACCGGAGAGGTGGCTGGGTCAGCGCAGGCCCTGCAGTGTGTGAGGGAGTGACCGCCTGACCCCCACTCAGGGCCGGGGGTCCTGTGAGGCCTGTTTGGGCTCTGGCCTGGGCCATCTCTTGGTGGTCTGCCCTTCAGCCTCCCGGGGGCTCCGCATGGGTCTCAGCAGATGCTGTCTCGGGTCCACCTGCCTGTCCCCTGCCTGGCAGTGCCTCTGGAAGAGGAAGTGGTTTTGCCACGGGACGCTGGAGGTGGCCAGGGCACCATCTCCTCCCTCCTGTGTCCTGTGCCGTGGCCTCCCTGGAACCCTGCCCCGTGTCATCCTGTGGGGGTGGTGAGGTGTCCTCACTTGCAGCAGCCCACAGTTCACTCCGAAAAATGGCTCAGAAACCCAGCAAAGGGAAAGCCCCGCCCGCACCCCCTCCCGTTCTTAATGAAACTCAGCATCTGCACTTCTCATTGCAAACTCCATGCCCTGAATGGAAACCGCCTCCCCCCAGGGGCATCTGCCCTGCGACGCTGCTGTCTTCAGGCAGCTGTGGGAAGCCGAGCACTGGCCCTAGCTTGAGCAGAGACATCTTAAGTACACCCAAAGCACGCGCCTCATGGCTGTCACATGGGTGAAGTTCCCTGAGGCCGAGTCCACTCTGCCTGGTTATCCACTGACCCACTTAGCTGAGCCCAGACTCAGAAAACCCTTGACAGCAGAAGGCCCCACATTTTCTCTGGCGTGTTCTAGAATTTTCTTTGGTGGGCAAATGTTCATCTGTGTGAATCGGGTGTGCTGTGCCCACACCAGTGGCTTTTTGCTGAGAAGCCACCTGCCTCCTTGGAGCTTCTGGCTGTGGGGGAAAAGTTCTGTCCACTGGGGCAGCCTTGCAGGCAGCTGTGGGGCCAGAAGGATGAGGGAAGGGCCTGGAGTCCAGCTGCAGGTGTGGGCCTGGAGTGGGTCATGGGGGGGCGAGGGGCTGCAGGTGAAGGGCGCCTGGGTGGAGCTGCCAGGCCCCTGGGGCTGGGAACTGAGGGTGGCTGGCGTTTTAGGTTGAACATCAGGAGTCTTGGGTCTCACTCCGGGTCTCTGGCCTCAGTTTCCCCATCTGTACAGTGGGACTGTTTGCACTGCCAACCTGGCCAGCTTCATTTGCCATGATGAGAACGTATCTGAAAGGCGGGAGAGGAAAGGCCTCCCTATAGAGGCTTCGGGCTCTAAAATATCTTGACTCCAGGGGTCCAGCTAGAAGCCCTTCCAGCCTGGGTCCTCGCCTGTCATACCATGCCTTCGTCCAGCACCCCCAGCCCCATCTGGTTGGGAGTTCCGCAGCCCCTGCGTGGCACGTGGAGAGCTGTGGCCCCGCTCTGCTCCTAGTAGAAAGTCTTGTTTCCAGGGCTGCCTAGAGACCTGCCTTCAAGCCCTCGTGTGGCTTCCTGGCAGTTGGGATGCACACAGCCCCAGCACGTGGAGCTGGTTCTCTATCCAGAAGCCCCCGGGGCAGTAAGCAGCCACTTTAGGCGGCCTGGGACTTGCTCGTAGGAGAGCCTGGGAGAGGCCCCTGGGCACAGGGGTTCCAGATTTCGCAGTTGCCCCTTTCCACTGCCGGCATGGCTGCTGCCAAGGAAGTGTGTATCCCCCAAGGGTGCAGGAAGGACTTCCAGGAGCTTCTGTCACACTCCGTCCTGGGCCAAGCATCTGTGGCTGCAGCAGGTGGATGGATGCCTGCCATGCCAGGTTGATGGGTGGCCCAGGATGCAGGCCTGAGCGGGAGAGGTTGGAGGGGGGAGAGATCAGGGCTCCAGGTCCCCCTGGCCACCCAGCATTCATCCTCAGTCATGCACGGCCGAAGGCTTGGCCAGCAGCTGATTATGGAAGGCCAGGTTCACCTCGAGTGCCGCCACATGGAGAGGTTAAGTCTGAAAAAGCAGGACTCAGAGGGCTTCTGTCCGGATCAGATCAGATGGCACTGAATTCCCCAGGGAGCTGGCAGGCCAGTGGGAACAGGAGGTCCAGGCGCTGTTGGGCATGGAGACGGGCAGGGGCGGTGCAGGCTGGGTGGGCAGCATCTGGTGTCCTGTGGCTCGGGAGGCCAGGTGGGAGATGGAGACATTCGGTCCTGAGTGCCCCATTGACAGGTGACTGGCAGCTCCCTCGTCTCACTCACATGGGCCAAGGAAGAGTTTTTGGCTTAGTCTCGCCCTTATAAAAGCCTTCCAGGTCATGGCACCAGGGAAGGGGCCCTTGCTGCAGGCCCCTTCTAAGGTCCCCTCTCCCCGCCTCTCCCCACCCCATCTCAGGACTGCCTCCGGGCCTGCCAGGAGCAAATCGAAGGCCTGCTGGAGTCCAGCCTGCGCCAGGCCCAGCAGAACCAGGACCCCAAGGCCTCTGAGGAGGAGGAAGAGGAGGAGGAGGAGGTGGACCTGGCCTGCACACCCACCGACGTGCGGGACGTGGACATCTGAGGGCGCCAGGAAGGCGGGCGCCCCGCCACCCCGGCGAGGGTGGCGCCGGCCCCAGGTGCTCCCCGACAGCCCCTCCTCTCCGGGGCGCTTTGATACCAGAAGGGAAAGCTTCATTCTCCTTGTTGTCGGTTTTTTTTCCTTTGCTCTTTCTCCCTTCCATCTCTGACTTAAGCAGAAGAAAAAGATTACCCAAAAACTGTCTTTAAAAGAGAGAGAGAAAAAATAGTATTCGCGTAACCCTGAGCGGCGGGGGACAGGAGAGTTGTGCTACAGAAATAGAGGACTGTATACCCCAGTAATCAACTAGTTTCTATATTAATGTGCTTGTTTCTCTGTTGTACGCGTAGGCATTAACACAAAGGAGGGGTCTCGGGAGAGGATTAGGTTCGATTCTTTGCGTGTTAAAAAAAAAAAGCATAAAAACATTTTTAAAAAAATAGAAAAATTCAGCAAACCATTTGTAAAGTAGAAGAGGGTTTTAGGTAGAAAAGGTATTCTCGTGCTTGTCCTGCGGAGCACAGCTGTAGTGCGGTTGTAGGCCTCTCTGTACCTTGCTTGCTCATCTGCATGTAGTCACTTTATAAGTCATTGTATGTTATTATATTCCGTAGGTAGATGTATAACCTCTTCACCTTATCCATGGCTGAAGTCACCTCTTGGTCACAGTAGCGTAGCGTGCCTGTGTGTGTGTCCTTTGTGCCTGTGGCCACCACCACAGTGGAGGTTTGTCAGGCACCAGCCAGCATGGCGGGGTCGGGAACGGCCACCTGTCCCACTCCTACGATACGCTACTGGAAAGAGAAGACGAAATAGTGACATAATATATTCTATTTTTATACTCTTCCTGTTTTTGTAGTGACCTGTTTATGAGATGCTGGTTTTCTACCCCGCGGCCCTGCAGCCAGCTGACGTCCAGGTTCAATCCACAGCTACTTGGTGGTTTGCTTTCTTCTCCGTATTCTAAAACCATTCCATTTCCAAGCACTTTCAGTCCAGCAGGTATAGGAAATAGCGCTGTTTTTGTGTGTGCGGAGGGAGAGCAGGTTTCTAATGGAATGGTTTGGGATATCCGTGTACTTGTGTGTGAGTAGGATGTGCGGCCACCGTGGTGGCAGCGGAGGTGAGTTTTTGGGAGGCTGCGTACCAGTCAGGAAGAAAAAGGTTTGCATTCTCACATCGCCAGGATGACAAGTTCCTTTCCTTTTTTTTTTTTTTTTTTCTCTTAAGTTGAAGTTTAGGAATCCTTTGGTGCCAACTGGTGTTTGAAAGTAGGGACCTCAGAGGTTTACCTAGAGAGCAGGTGGTCTAAGGTTATCTGAGATGTTTCACACCGGAAGGCTTTTAAACACTAAAATATATAATTTATAGTTAAGGCTAAAAAAGTATATTTATTGCAGAGGATGTTGATAAGGCCAGTATGATTTATAAAGTAATGCAATCTCCCCTTGATGTAGACACACACACACACACACACACACACACACACACCCTTCTGCCTTTGATGTTGCAGGTATAGTACAGTGTGTTTTAAAGCTGGGTCCTTTTATAGGTGAGAAAAACAATCTGGAGGAAGACCGCACACAGACATTAACTCAGCCTGTTTGGCATTTCCCACAGTCACAAGGAAAAGTCGGGTACTTGCCATAAGTCCAGTTCCTAGATGTTCTTACCCCTTGCCCCTTCCTTTAAAAAAAAACTTAGCGACAAAATAGACAATTTGCACATCTTGGCTATGGAATTCTTGTAATTTTTATTTAGGAAGTGTTGAAGGGAGGTGGCCAGAGGGTGGAGGCTGATGTGTGAGGGAAGGTGGGCGGGAGGAGTGAGGAGGAGGCTCCCGACGGGACGGGCGGTGCCCACGCCAGGGACAGGCTGCAGCTCCTGGGGGGATGGGGCGGTGCCCACGCCAGGGACAGGCTGCAGCTGCGTTTTCTTTCTGCGCTGCTACCGTTGACGTCCAGGCACGGTTTGGACACACTCACATCGCTTCTCTGTATCTCTTTCACATTGTTTGCTGCTACTGGAGGGTCAGTTTTTTGTTTGACAATGTCATATACTGCCGTGTACTAGTTTTAATTTTCTCTTAGAACACTGTATTACGGATGCCTTTTTTGTAGTTTTTTTTTTTTATGTGATCAGTTTTGACTTAATGTGATTACTGCTCTATTCCAAAAAGGTTCCTTTTCACAATACCTCATGCTTCACTTAGCCATGGTGGACCCAGCTGGTAGGCTCCGTCTGTTTCGGCTCACAGACATGCGGGCGCGATCCTGCACCGGCGTCCCCGGGGCCCAGGCTGTGTCCATCTTCTCTTCCTGCGCCTGTGATACTGGGCTCTTACCGGATCGTAGCGTCCTGGTAGTTTTCACAGCTGTGTCATTCTTTGCGTGTAGCTATGGACGTTGCATAATTATTATATTATTATAACAAGTGTGTCTTACGTGCCGCCACGGTGCTGCGCCCGTAGGACTCTGCTTCGGGATGATTGGAATAGCTTCTGGAATTTGTTCAAGTTTTGGGTGTGTTTAATCTGTTATGTACTAGTGTTCTGTTCGTTATTGTTTTGTTAATTACAGCATAGTGCTGATTTAAAGAGACTCCAAATCTCAATGAAGCCAGCTCACAGTGCTGTGTGCCCGAGTCACCTAGCAAGCTGCCGAACCAAAAGAATTTGCACCCTCCCCCCACCAGGCCTGCATGGCTGGAGCCCTGCCCTGGCAGGGTCATCCTGTGCTCCGAGGCCATCGCGAGCACAGGCCCATCCTGCCCCACCCCTCCGGAACACGGCTCACGCTTACCTCAACCATCCTGGCTGCGGCGTCTATCTGAACCACGCAGGGCCCTTGAGGGACACTTAGTCCGTCGTGACGGGGCGAGGGCACGAGTCCTAGATGTGTGTGTCGAGAGGCCAAAGGCTGGTGGCAGGTGCATGGGGCACCGCAGAGTCTGTCCTGTGACGCACACGTCTGAGGGTCTGGGCGGCGGGCGGCTGGGTCTGTTTCTGGTTGCACCGTGGCGCTTCCCAGCACCCACATGTAACCGGCATGTTTCCAGCACAAGACAAAAGACAAACATGAAAGTCTAGAAATAAAACTGGTAAAACCCCAGCATGGTGCCTGCCTGCTTGTTTCCTGGGCTGGCGGGAAGCCAGGGGCGTGCATCCTGGTGCCTCAGAAGCGAGGCAGGGTGGCAGGGTGGCAGGCTCAGCAGTGCGGGAGGCCACATGGGCGCTTCTGGGTACTTCAGCAGCATCCCAACCTCCACCCACTGTGACAACCATGAGTGTCTCCTGACACTGCCACACGCCGGGGGCTGGAGACAATCCAGCCAGGATCGGGCACACTCCTCCAACTGGTAGGAAGCCCCGAGCCCAGCTGTGTGAGGTGGGAAGGGGTCTCCTGTCCCAGGGAGGCTCCAGAGAAGTTTGCAGGCAGCCTGGCTGCGTGAATCCACCCACGTGAGACAACAGGTCTGGCCCGGGTGACGTGAGCGGTGCCCATTGATTGGGAATGTCTCCTGCCCCTCGCCTCACCAGTTTGTCTTCCCGGGTTATTTGCAGATAGGAGAATAAATACAGCCGCATTCGCTAACCCTCTTCTGGCGCAAACTAATGTTTGCTCTGGGTGAATCACAGTCCTTTGGCGACGCCTCCGGGAGAGCAAAGTTTTTTAAAAAAAACTTTGATCAAGAGTTGTCAGGGTCATGATCCAGGGACCTGGAGGCCACCTTATAGGACGTCTATGACGTCCCCCGTTGGATTTCAGGAGCACGTGACTGAACTTAACTTCAAACCCCGGGTGGAGGTGGGCAGCGGGAGTGCCCCCGGGAAGGTGTCCCTGGACCTTGGTCACAGCTCCTGAATCCATGTGAGGCTGGTCTGTCCTCGCCCCAAGCCTGGTGGAAGCCCAGGTCCCACGCCACCAATGGGCGCTACTTGTCAGCTGCAGGTCAAATCTCCATGGACTTTATGAAGTACCTGCTGTCTGCCCTTTCTGCCTCATAGAGCGCTTCTCCCAGGGCCCACAGTGGGGCCGGGGTGGTCAGTGTGCTGGCTCCACAGGCGGCTGCCCAGGGAGGAAGGTTGGGTGTGGCGGGGAAACCTGGCCCTTCTAGGTCACCAGCCTCTCCCCTGAGGGTGGGGGCTCTGGGAGCCTTCCCCAAGGGAGCCCCATATTGAGTGGGTGGGGGGCCTGCAGGTTGCCCCGACAGGTCTTGTCATCAAGAGCTCAAGGGACAGTCGGAGCCAGAGGGGACACTGGTGGCCACTTGGGTGGCTTCCGAGGCCCAGCTCCTTGCTCCTGGGGCAAATGGCCCTGAAGGCCGGGGCCAGGTCAGCACCATTGCAGCTGTCCAGACATCAGGCAAGGGCCAGGCTGTGTCAGGGCTGAGGTCCTAGGGAACCCACACCCCACCCCTGGCCTGTAGCTGGGTTCACGTCCATCCCGAGAGCACACGGGTGTGGCAGGAGGCCTGAGCAGGGAGCTCCAACCATCGCACAGGGAACCTTTGGTTGTTTCGCGGAGCAGGCAAGGTCGCCAGCAGATCCTGCTAGGTTTGAGCAAGGATGTGGGGAAGACCCAAGAGCCACTTTGCCAGGCAGGGAGAGGAGCCACATGGGTCTAGGAAGGTACTTTAGTGTCTGGAAGTTTTTAAAATGGAAGAGGGATGTGTAGGCTGATAGGTCTGGCAGAGCCAAGGGGCAGCGACGCATCTACTGGGAGAGAGGGAGTGGAGTGCGGGGCTCAGGCAGGCTGGCAGGGCCGGGCAGGGGCCGAGTGGGTCAGGCGGGTTCACAGCCAAGTGTAGAGGGGGCTTGGGGTCAGAGTGAAATGATTGCAAGCTCCCCCCCACCCCAGCCCTGTCTCTCTGTCTCGGTATCTGTGGCATCCAGTGATGAATGGGCCTGTACACCCCCACCCCCGGCTGTGCCAAGATAGGTGGGTCTGTACATCCCCCGGGGATGGATAGGTCTGCACATCCCCCAGCTGTGCTAAGATGTGTGGGCCTATACATCCCCCTGGTTATGCCATGAGCTCCAAGGCTGTATTAGCCCTTTTTCACACTGCTGATAAAGACATACCCACCTTGGAGGCGGACGTTGCGGCGAGCCGAGATCAGGCCATTGCACTCCAGCCTGTGCAACAGAGCCAGACTCCGTCTCAAATAAAACAAAATACAATAAAAGACATACCCGACAGGGTAATTTATACTTTACAAAGAAAAGGAGGTTGAATAGACTCACAGTTCTACATAGCTAGAGAGGCCTCACAGCCATGGCAGAAGGCAGAAGGCCTGTCTTCCTTGGAGGTGGGGAAGAATGAGTCAACTAAGAGGGCAATCCCTCTAAAACCATCAGATTTCATGAAAGGTGGGGAAGAATGAGTCAAGTAAGAGGGCGATCCCTCTAAGACCGTCAGATTTCATGAAAGGTGGGGAAGAATGAGTCAAGTAAGAGGGCGATCCCTCTAAGACCATCAGATTTCATGAAAGGTGGGGAAGAATGAGTCAAGTAAGAGGGCGATCCCTCTAAGACCGTCAGATTTCATGAAAGGTGGGGAAGAATGAGTCAAGCAAGAGGGCGATCCCTCTAAGACCGTCAGATTTCATGAAAGGTGGGGAAGAATGAGTCAAGTAAGAGGGCGATCCCTCTAAGACCGTCAGATTTCATGAAAGGTGGGGAAGAATGAGTCAAGTAAGAGGGCGATCCCTCTAAGACCGTCAGATTTCATGAAAGGTGGGGAAGAATGAGTCAAGTAAGAGGGCGATCCCTCTAAGACCGTCAGATTTCATGAAAGGTGGGGAAGAATGAGTCAAGTAAGAGGGCGATCCCTCTAAGACCGTCAGATTTCATGAAAGGTGGGGAAGAATGAGTCAAGTAAGAGGGCGATCCCTCTAAGACCGTCAGATTTCATGAAAGGTGGGGAAGAATGAGTCAAGTAAGAGGGCGATCCCTCTAAGACCGTCAGATTTCATGAAAGGTGGGGAAGAATGAGTCAAGTAAGAGGGCGATCCCTCTAAGACCGTCAGATTTCATGAAAGGTGGGGAAGAATGAGTCAAGTAAGAGGGCGATCCCTCTAAAACCGTCAGATTTCATGAAAGGTGGGGAAGAATGAGTCAAGTAAGAGGGCGATCCCTCTAAGACCGTCAGATTTCATGAAAGGTGGGGAAGAATGAGTCAAGTAAGAGGGCGATCCCTCTAAGACCGTCAGATTTCATGAAAGGTGGGGAAGAATGAGTCAAGTAAGAGGGCGATCCCTCTAAAACCGTCAGATTTCATGAAAGGTGGGGAAGAATGAGTCAAGTAAGAGGGCGATCCCTCTAAAACCGTCAGATTTCATGAAAGGTGGGGAAGAATGAGTCAAGCAAGAGGGCGATCCCTCTAAGACCGTCAGATTTCATGAACTTAGTCACCCCCACGAGAACAGTCTCGGGGAACCGCCCCAAAGAGCCAGTGACCTCCCACCAGGTTCCTCCCATAACACGTGGCCACAATTCAAGATGAGATTTGGGTGGGGACACAACCAAACCATATCAAAGGTATTGTCTTGCCACTCGGGGCCTTCATTTCCAACTCTCGAAATCCACTGACATCACCTGGGTGCCTGCGGCTGCCTCCAGGGTACAGTGAAGACCTTGTCCCTTGTTGGGGTATCTGCGCTGCCCAGGAGGTGACAGTAAAAACTGACCATTGAGGAGCTTCAGAGACAAAGCCCAAAGCAGTCGGCCCTCCCCGCAGCCCCTTCCCAGAGGCTTGCTCATGAGGGGCCCTGCGCTGCCTCCCCTATGGCTCATGAGGGGCCCTGCCCTGCCTCCCCTATGGCTCATGAGGGGCCCTGCCCGGCCTCCTGGCCCATCTTCCTGCAGCCAAACAGCCCTTATCCACTCTTCACCCTCTGCCCCCCCTGCTGCCCCCTTCCTATCTCCCCTCAGCTCTGCCCAAGGTCCCTGGGACTCAGCCCATCTCTCCCCAGTCTTGACACCCACTAACCTCAATGTCTTTGCCCAGGGGCTCCTGACACACCAGATGGCATCACGTGTCTGTCCTCTGCCCACAGGAACCTTCATCTCCACACTCCCTGTGAGGACAGTCTCTGTCCCCACCTTGCACCGGACAGGTGGCTCTGGGAGCCGAGGATTGTCATGCCTGGGTGCTTCCCTGCTCAGGGTGAGCCCCTCCAGGATGGAAATCTCCCCGCTTCCTCTCTGCCACCCTTCGTCCCACCCTGGCAAACAGTGGGTCCTAGGAAGGGGGTGGAATGGAAGGGAGGAGTGCCAGCTTCCACAGGGCAGCCCCAAGCTGCTGGGCTGAGTTGTGGGGCCATGGGTCCGGCCTGCCCTGCGTGCCGGCAGCTGACTCCACAGCTGGAAGGGCTGGGGGCTCCCCAGGGACCTGGACAGCACCTATAGTTGTCACAATGAGGAGTGGGAGACCCCGAGGGGACAGAGGAAAGCGGCTGGGCGGAGCGGGCACTGGGACTTCGGACCTCGCTTGTGGGATAGCAGTGGGTGGGGTTGCTGCAGGGGTGAGGCAGTGCCCGCCCGTGGGATTCCAGAGCAGCCAGGCCCAGCAGCAGTGCGGTGGCATGTGCCCTGTACTCCCTCCAGCCACCCTGCATGCGGTGTGACCCACCCCGAAGCACCCCAGGAAGCAGAGTCACAGCCTCGCTCCGCACAGCGCCGGGGGCCTGGCTTCCAAGTTTGCTGGGGAAGGCTGGGTTGCCTCCTGGCACCCGCTCCTTCACCGGTCCCACTATAAGGCTTGTCCCCAGAGTCAACGCTGCAGCCAGGGCCAGTGAGGGCCAGCAAGGGCCAGCAAGGGCAGGCCTGTGCAGGGGCAGCAGTGTGGGGCGTGCGTCCTGCACACTGGGCCAGCCTCGCAGCTCACAGGGCTCTGTCATCCCAGGAATGTCTTTGATCAAGAGTTTATGCAAGACGAGGAAAGCAAGCCCAAGACCTCTAATCCGTTCCCACAGTCCCCTGCCCGCCGGGGCCCCACAGACCCAGCGCCACACCGCCAGGCCGGAGCAGACAATAGCCGGCGGACGGGTGGGCGGGCAGCTCCGGGGCCGCTGGCCTTGGGGCTCACATCCGGGAGCATTGTCACCG